TTACTTTTGTGATACATATTATAGATCACTTCTCGAATGGCACTTGTATCCAATGTCGCTGTGTTGGTTACACGTTTAATATAACTCCGCTTTTTCTTGGGCGATTCTAAATTTGCATCACTTTTCACACCCTCGGAAATACGACTAACTGTCCTTAAACTAATTTTTAAAGCAGCAGCAACACGCTACAAAAAATGAAATAAAATTTCACTATTATTAATATACATTACATATAATTATTAGTAACCTACCTCTTGAACAGCATTTAAAGGCAACAAAGGCCCGTTGTTGTCCCTTTCTTGCTCAAAGTAGTGCATTAACGAGGCCACGAGTTCCTTACACCGACTATTTAACTGTTTGGGCATCTTTATATACCAAAATTGCCTTTATCTACTCGTAAAATGAATAATTTTGTTTTGAAACAAACAGTTGTTGATTTACAGTATGCGGGGCCAAAGGATTTATAAAGATTTGAAATGCCACAAATTGATTCAGTGTCAAAATTAATACAAATGTCAGTTCCCAGTTTAAATAAGTTTCAAGGTGACAATGTGTCAACGCTGCGAAATCGGTTTAGTGCGTTTACATGTCGATAAGTGATTGGAGCGTTTGCAAAACATTTTATTTCGCATAATGCGTCTAAATTTATCAGAAAGCAACTTATGTGATATTTTAATAACAATGTTTATATGACTATTAACCATAATGAGAGTAATGACCATTTACAATTTATATATCACATTAATATGAAACTGCAATAGAGCAATTTTTGTGGATAGAAACCTAGGCATTAGGTCGGGGAATTTTTTCGTGATGACGTGCACGCCACTTGTTTGGCGTTGACTATAATGTTTTTATATATATTCAGGTTTTACATGAGCATGGTTCGAAATTTCAAAAGGAAGACTGAGAAGCGCCGCCTGACGTACTTTTAAGAGCTGCTAGATTAGTGAGAATACGATCCTCAATAAGAAAAGCCTCCAGCTGACTTCAATGTAAATTACCGTACTTAAGCAAGATACTGTAGAAAATTCCAGAGTCTGAATTACTTGATGATCGAGTTCTTGCGCCGTCAATTTCAGTCGGCTACATCAAAAATCATTTAGTATTTGCGCCTGAACTTGAAAATCGTCTTGTGGAATATGTACTCAAAGCATCTGATATTTATTTTGGATTATCACCCAAGGAAATACGTGGACTGTCATGAATTTTCTAATGCTAATTCCTTGAAAATGCCGGAGAATTGGAGCTCCATCAAATAGCTTGTCCTGACTGGTTTAGTGCGTTTCTAAAACGCCATCCTGTACTGTCTTCGCAAACCGGAAGCAACTAGTTTAGCAAGAGCCAGTAGTTTCAATAAAACGAACGTCAACGCATTTTTTGATAATTTAGCTTCAGTTATGGATAAACATAAATTTGAGCATCACGAAATCTGGGACAACAAGTCCTGTTTAGATAATGAAACTGATGGAGAAGAATGTTTTTGCTTGATTTGTCTTGAACCATTTTCTAACAGCGCGCCAAATGAAGAATGAGTGAAATGCTCATCGTGTAATGGTTGGTCTCATGATGCGCGCAATGATGGACGCGAACTTTACATATCTCATAACTGCTATAGTGACTAATTGTAAAAAAACTCTTCTACTTTTTTCTCAAAGATTTGGTGTTTAATAAGCATTTTTGTAATAATAAATATGTTTAAAAGAATGATATCATAATTTATTAATGATCTAAAATACGCGTGACAACCCACCCCAAGCAATGTGACATCCAGCCCCAGCAAGAGGCAAGTTGTCACATTTGTTTCTGTATCTTGAAACATTTTAATTTAATATTGTGAACTATTTTACAGCCTCATCGATTTTACATAGTGTTCCCAAAGGATAAACCATATTAGTTATGCACCAAATATGTGCATATAACGCTTCATATCGAATAAAAAAAAAGTATAGAGTCAATCTAATTGACGCAATTTTTTTGGTACAGCAAGTGAAACTTTTGGAGCTCAGATTTTGCGTACTGAGAAATATTCAGTTGACGTACTTGCCTCTAGCTTCAACCGATATGATGGGTTTTTAATACTTCATACAAACATTAAAACCGTTTTAATTTTTTAATTACTATCACGCCAAACAACTCAATAAATGAGAAACAATTTATTGTAAACAAACAAATAACCGCAACTCGTTCGAAAACAACCGAATAATCCCGACTATAATCTAAATATAGGTAACTTGATTAAAACAATAAACTGCTGATAATTACGCGACTGGTGCGTATAAACATGCAGGAGGCTTAAATATGCAATAAAATTACATTAATTTACATTAAAATGGGGATCGCGACAAAAACGAACGCAGCGCGATAATTCATGCGAAAACAAATAAATAAGTAAACAATTAAAATAATTCTTTTAATATTTTATCGTTTTTAGCCACTCTCTGGTTTTATGCCTTTCATTATTGTACCTGAATATCGCACGCAATGTGTCGCAATCAATAACGATCAATCCAATATTACGACTATTCCGTCAGGAGTTCCGCAAGGCTCAATTTTGGGACCTGTGCTCTTTTTGGTTTACACGTGTGACCTGCATAAAGCAGTTGACAATTCAGGGATACAAACATTTGCTGACGATACTCAAATAATATTCCATTTCGCCGCCTCAGATACGCAAAATTCATCAGACATTTTACAGCTTGATTTAGATAAGGTACATCAGTTTTCTATGGAACATAATCTTACTATTAATCCAGATAAGACACAAGTGTTATTGTTTTGTTCTGATCAGAAGAGGAAAGCTGTCGAAGATTCTTTCCATCTGACTATTGATGGCATAACATTACAGCATACTCAAACAGCTAAGGTACTAGGAGTGGAAATTGACACAAAATTAACATTCCGCAGCCAAATAGCTAATTTGATGAAAAAAACTTACCTGTGTTCTAGGACTCTTTATTCCAATCGCTACTTGCTTAACTTTAAGCTGAAAAAAACTGTGCGAATCTTTGGTGATGTCAATGCTCAGTTACTGTGATGCCGTTTATTATCCATGTTTGGATCAATTGACCAAAATCGTCTTCAAATCATCCAAAATAACTGTGTTCGCTTTATTTATGGGTTGCGTAAATACGATCACGTAAGTGATAAATATAGGGAATTGAACTGGCTTAGGTTAGGAAGTTTGGTTAAACATAAATTCTTAGTTTTAGTTCATAAAATAATATTGTCATCAAAGCCTGAATATCTAAGAGCTAAGTTAAGATTTAATTACGAAGTGCATGACAGGGCTGTTAGGAATCGTTATAGTATCAGAACCACCCCACACACTTCTGCATTATTCCAACGAGGATTTACATATAATGCAGCACTATTTTATTATCAGTTGGACAACAGTATTAAATTAATGTCTTTGGAAAGTTTTCGTAAACATACTGAAAGCATGTTGCTCGCTATTGATTAAATACGCATTTCTGCTACAGATATAGATTGTGTCTATTTGTATTTTATACTTAGGTATATATGTGTTATTTTTTTCATTATTGTCATATATATATATCTTTTTTTCCATGTTTTGAACATCAGATGTAACCGACATAAACAGTTAAGTGTAAGAGTAGGCTTGGCTAAACTTCGCTGTTTATGTCCCTCCGGGTTATCCAATAAACACGTTATTATATTATTATTATTATTAATATAGCTATTATGCTATTATTGAATCTTGAACTTAAAGTTCAGATTGTCTGTTGGGATATCGCTGCTTCAAACGAACAGAAACTTAAAGAAATGCCTATTTCTACTTGCCGTCATCACGACTACGAAGGGGTGTTAAAAATCGTGTTTAGAACAAAGATCGACCAAGTGACTACAAGGCCTCAAATTCCAATGTTTCGCGAGAGCTGCAAAAGTGTGGGAATACAGAATTATACTGAAAAGCTATCACGCCTGCATATTACAGAGACTGACAAGCTGCTAGAATTTTATCGACATGAATTGACCAATGAAGCTAAAGACGATTATCGAGAATTTTCAATAATAATCCTAGGCGGAACTATAGAGAAAACGTTTAAGATTTGACCGCCAGCTCGATGGATGACCAGAGCAATCTGTTAATTAAAAATAGCTCCAACTTTCTAATAAGGATAAGGCAGCTCTGTTAGATATTTGCCTGTTCATCGGATTTATGGTTTTAAAAGTCAATGAAGGCTTATGAAAGAATTGACAGAATCATTTAAAAATCAGTCTTATAAAAGTTCTGTCAACATTTATGGTATTTAGTCAGTTTCGTTAGTACATTCTTTCATGCTTTTCATATCCTCGATATCCTATGCCAGTTCTCGATCCTCCCATCCAGAGTTCCCAAACTTAAAACAAAGTAAAGTAAAAACACATGTTAATTTATGCATTTATTAATTGAATTTAAATTAAAACTACACAAAATAAAATTTTGTATCTGTTATGTAAAATATACGTAACATTAAATAAACAGGTGTCTGACCAATAAGTGCCCGCATTGGGAATAAGTGCCCGCATTGAAAAAAAATAAGAGGGATAAAATAAAAAAAAAGTAAAAAATAATAAAAAAAGTTTTTTACTTAAAATAGTACAATAAGCGAGTTCGTTTATTAATTATAACATAAACGTATGTTCTACAATAATTTCACTGTTAGTTTGATTAAATTCCGCTTCTTATACGTTTAAGTTATCTAAAAATAGGCAAAAAATTAACGAATTTTAGTGTGTACCTATCCTTGAATTTTCAGAATAATTTAAAAAAAATATTTTCTATAAAGGGGGGTTCTTTAAAAAAATCAATGCGGCACTTATTCCCAATGCGAGCATTTATTGGTCAGACACCAATAAACATAAAATAAACTATAAATAAAATAACATAAGCAATAAGTCAATATTTTTAGTGAGAAGGGTGAACCTGATGCTTTAATAATAAATTATCAACATTTGGCGTCAATTTTGTAAGGGTTAATCTTAAATCTCCTCGGCTAATGATGTCCAGTCTGTTTCTTTTTTTCGTTAGGAGATTGGTAACAGCGCTGAACCCCCTTTCCACTATGTATGACGATGGAAAGGAAATTAAAAATTTCCTCGCTATATTCCATAATACGGGATAAGTAACGGGTATGTTGTTTTGCAGCCAGAATTGCTGATCCATTTTTAAACTGAACCTTAAGTTCTTCGTTTGTACTTAGTTCAGTCAGTTCCTCTTGTATTATGACATTCGTTTCTTCTATGTCACCATATGGATTAATTATCCACGGTGGTATTACCATAGTCAAAATATCCTCAAACCTAGATTCAAAATCTGAATAGAGGGCATTTAAATGTTGAACGTAAGTTGAAACGTCGTCTTCCTGGCAGCTTGTCTGTGACAAATTGGGGAACTGAGAAAATTCGCCCCGTCCAATATTTTGCTTCATTAGTTTAACTCTGGCAAGAAACGCTGATAAGATGGACTTTGTTTTAATCAAATTTAAACTGTCGCCTTGTAATTGCAAATTAACCATATTAAATTTTGTAAACAAATCTGTTAAATAGGCGATGTCTGTTTTCCTCTTCATTAAATTTTCTTTTAAAATTTTATCTTTAGTATCCAGAAATTCTAAAATAGTCTCAAAAAGTGCAAAAAATCTTGTCAAACATAAGCCTTTCGACAGCCAGCGTACTTCAGTGTGAAGGAGTAATTGATGAAAGTGTTCGTCATTTTCTTCCCACCAACTGCGCCGCGTATTCAACGCTTTGCTTCGGCTTCGGTTTACTGCATCAATGACTAAATGAAGTGATTCATGCAATCTAACACTCAAATTTTTAGCAACTAAATGTTGTCGATGGATGACGCAATGTATTGCTAACACCCCTGACACATTTTGTTTTAAATAGCTTATAAATCCACGATAACGTCCAACCATGGCAGGTGCTCCATCTGTAGCTACTGATATTATATTTGATAAAGGAATTGCTTTTTCAATGAATAATCCTTCAAAACATGAAATATTGATTCACCTTTAGTGTCGGTTATCAAAGTTCTTGCGAAGAGCAGTTCTTCGTAGATTTCTTGATTCATAATAAAACGAACATATGCCAATAATAATGCTGCATTATCAGTAAAGTTGACTCGTCCAGTTGTATAGAGAAATGGTCGTTTGCAAATAATTACATAAGAAGCTTTCATTTCATCAATACGTCTTTCAACAGTATTGTTGCTTAAGGGAATTCTTTTAATGATATCAGATGCAGGTTTGTGTAAAACAGTTTTTAAAACCTCTTCGCCGGCTGGCAAAATTAACTTCTCTCCGATAGTATGCGGTTTTCCGGATTTTGCTATAAGTAACGAGATATTGCAAGACGCCCGCAAACCATCATCATTTCTTTGTGACGTCGAAGCGAACATTCTGTCCAGTGTAGGTCTCTTCTGAAATTATCTTTGAGTGTTTGAAAGTATTTCAAATCTTTCTCTGTTTTATCAGGGTGGCATCTTCTCAGATGATCTTGCAGTTTAGATGGTTTCATAGCGTCATTGCCCAAAACTTTGTTGCATAAAAGGCACATAGGCGATTGTTTGTCCGGCAATGATGGAATGAAGCCAAATTTCAAATAATCAACACTGTACTGTCTACATTTCTTTTTAATTCGGACATGGCATCAGTCATCTGTGGGCAAAATTAAATTATTTAAATAAGACAGAAAATACAGCAGCAGTATATTAAAAATATTTTTTTATTTTTCCGACAACATTCATAATTCGAACATCTTCTTGCAACAACTAGCTCGAATTACGGAGATTGCACTGTAATTATATTACCGATTGCTAAAACTTTCAAAAAGAAACTATGAGGGGTACTCGTGTAATTTTGCATGATTGTATATTTAACTACTATAACTAAAGTCATGATTGGCGTAATTTATCTATCTTTGCTAACTACGAGTACAAAACTAAAATTTAATAAAAAATAATGTACTTACCTTTATCCAGCACTCTCAAACAAAATAACACTGACTCACTATAATTTGTGTAATATACTATCTTTTCAAGATTAAGGAAACGAATAAATGTATTTGTCCCCATTCGTATTTATAGAGTGACGAATGAACAAGTCAGTGCAAGGTAGCGAAGCTCTGAGACTGCGACTCTCAGGTAATTAACAAGTTCAAAATGTATTGCGACCACAAAGCGAATACCAACATCCTCCAACTTACACATTTTATAAACATATATAATAAATTTTTTACTTCATAGGTACTTTTATAAATAATGTATATGTTTTGATATTATAAGATAGTATGATGTAAGTAAATAGGTACTATCAGTGTATGTGTTGAGATCCACTATCGTGAACCCCCATATTCATTTCATGGACCCCCAAATTTTGGTGACGTAGACCCCTTGCAGGTTGTCATAGACCCCTAGGGGTCGATATAGACCACTTTGGAATCAATGCTCCAATCCATCGATCTATGAAAAATAACGCGTCGATCATTGCGTCCGAATTAACATCAGGTGTATGTTAAACAGATTTATTATTGCGATTATGTCATTTATTCACGTTGAACAGTCCAATTTAGACCGCACAATGTCGTTATATAACATGTCCGTTTCTTAAAACGTTCGTCATGCTTCGATAACCACAAAGAACAAACAATTTTTGATATTCGCTTAATTAGATCCTTGTTGTTTTTATATATTAGTCATCTGTTGTGAGTAAGTAAATACTGGAAGTTTTTCTTTAAAATATTGAGATTGTTTACCGTTCGGTGAACGTGGTGGTATCGCAGTCGCAGTAGAACATTTATAAAGACTCCTACGTATCTTTGGTTCAATTGTATAAATCGGAAATGCTCTTATAATACTTTAATCAACATACATAAATATCGACAAATGCCATGTTTTAACTTTTACACGTAAGAAACAATACATAAATTTAACATACACGATTGAAAATGTACAACTAGGCAGAGAAAGCACATGCAAGGATCTCGGCGACTACTTCCAACAACTTAACATTTGTCCAGCATTATGAAAACATTAAGTAAATTCTGTTAGTCAATTTCGTCTGAAAGTAGTACAAACTAATCTGATGCACCTATTAAAGTCTACTATAAACTTTAAATCAATAAATCTTCAAAACTACTGAACTCAAGCTCATGTATTTTACATCATTATAAAGGGAATTGAAAGGCCTTTAAAATAAGGTATCACTCGACCCCCCTTTCCATTTAACAGTTTAGGATTGGTGTCACCCCCGCCCAGGGGGCTGCACGTGCTAACGTGATTTTTTGCCAAACTTGTGTCCCCCTCGAAAACAAAATCGACGGGTCAATTTATTGACGTATCTTTATTCGAGGTATAGATATGAGGCACCTCTTTAGCTCTTTTTTAGATTCATCCAAATTTATAATGTATACATTTGATTTCAAAAGGAATGAAGTTTAACGACCTAGGAGCTGAGAAAGAATGAGACATCAGGAACTTTCCTTTTTGGCGTTGGTACTCTAGATAAGTCTTTTCTGTTCTCGTTTGATAAGTATACTACGTGACATATAAATCCGAACACCCAGTTTAAATGGTTTTATTTTAATAAAATTTTGTATAAGTACTTAATGAAGCATAATAAGTAAATGATAAAATTTCAAATGATTGCGCTGCTTTACAGCCCTTTGATCTTTAATAATGTGTGGATGCACCCTGATGTGCTACGCATTCTCCAACGCGCCTAGGCATGCTTCTGAACAGGTGGTCAATGTCCTCCTGTGGTATCTCATTCCAGGCAACCACCAACTCCTCTCGAAGTGCTTCTAGAGTCTGAGGAGGACGTTGCAAATTGAGCAATCTCCTACCCATTATATCCCACAGGTGCTCAATTGGGGATAAGTCGGGAGATCTTGGTGGCCATGGTAACAATGTGACATCATTATGTTGAAAGAAGTCTATTGTGACTCTTGCAACATGTGGTCAGGCATTATCTTGTTGGAAAGTTGGATCTGCCAGGGTGTCAAGACAGGGTAAAAGAAGGGTTTCTAGAACTTCGTGGATATAACGCTGCGCGTTCATGTTACCTCTGATGAAGATTAAAGGTGACCTGGAACCATAAGCTATAGCATTCCAAACCATAACTCCAACAGTGTGATGAACATGTCTTTCAACAAAAACTGTGGATTCCTCCTTTCACCATGTCGCCTTCTAACCCTGGCAACGACCATCGTGCATGCCTAAACAAAATCGAGACTCGTCACTAAAGACAATACTGTTCCATTCCTGATCCCAGAGTGACCGTTGTCTGCACCACTCAAGGCGATTACGTCGGTGTTCTCGAGTTAAAGGGAGGACCCAGTGTGGCCGGTATGAAACAAGCCAAAACTTCTCATTCGTCGGTAAACACTTCGCATGCCAATAGGTCTTCCGTGTTCTGCAAACCATTCATTTGCAATGGACCTGGTAGTGGAGAAACGGTCCCTTAAGGCCAATAATCTTAGGCGGCGATCTTCACGGTCTGTTGTTCTACGGCGGCGTCCAGTGCCCCTTACTCTTTGCGAAGCCATGCCTGACAACACCTAACCACAGTGTCTACACTTCTTTGCACTCTAACTGCAATTGCCCGAAAAGAAAGTCCAGCTTCCCGAAGTCCCACTATACGGCCCCTATCAAACTCACTAAGTTGACGAAATCGTACAGGTCTCCGTACTCTAGGCATCGTAACCGATCGTAAAGGATGTCAAGAACCAAAATCCGCCAACGTTGATTCTTTACTGCGGCTGAAATATTCATTTTTAGAGCGTTAGTGAATTAAAAAAAGCATATAAAACCGGAATGTCCAACTGATAAGGCTGAAAATTTTTTCACTTGTTATTTACAGTAAGATAAATACATTCACCAACTTTTATTAAAATAAAACCATTTAAAACTGGGGGTTCGGATTTATTGTCACTTAGTATATATGCAAAACTTAAAAGGCATCCCTCGTACATGCGCTTTCTAGAGAAGCGATATATTTGGATTTCATAGTAGGCTAACAGTTGCAAACACAGGATTTCAAAATTTGAAATTTTTTGAAATGTTTTCGATGTTTACAAAATTTTCAAAATCACCAAAATTTTCCAGGACTTTCTATAATATCAGAATATTCAAAATCTTCTGATTTCGGTTTTCAATTATCTTTTGTCAACTATTGTAACTGGGAAAAAAGAATTTCAAAGATATGAGCCGTCTCTTTGCAAACATCAAGACACATCTAAATCATAAATGAACAAATATAACTCGGTTAGCTTAAGATACCGCCATTTATGAGTTTACAATAGCAATAGTAGTAGTAAATGCTACTTAAACCTACCGACAGTGACAGTAGCAGAAGCTGTTAAATATTTGCACCACAAATCTGGCTTAATGTAATAGGTCCAAATCCACAAGGCAATAGCGGCAGATTGC